ATTACGATGTGTTTTAGGCCAAGGACAAGCACTATTGGAAATGGTCTGGATCGGATCACTTTTTCCACCGCTCCTCATATAACACCTGACTTTAAAAAGTTAATATTTGAACCCCTTTGAGATGATATAGGGTGGTGTAGGATATTTAATGGTGAGCCGAAGCACTTGTGTGCAACACTTCTGCTAAGCTTGGAACGAAATTTAACGAAAGCTATTTCTTTCATCGTGACGCGATGTGGCAAAACACCCTGTCACCTTAAACGCTACAAATCGACAATCTCTCGATGGATTTTGTACGAATATGTATACGTATGCATATTGTATATAATTTTCAGATGACATATCGCTTCAGTAGGACGGACTTTCAGTAGTTATTAGTTTTCCGCAAAGCGAATAATTTATTTTGCCACTTAAAGTGTTTTTAGTCCCATCGATAGATCAATGGCAGCGTGACCCAAATCGTCATAATAAATATATTAGCAAATGAATATGTTTTGACACTAACTAGCAGCGAATCTGAGAAAGAGCTTTCTGGAGCTCTAACGTGACAATAAATATTATTTCGGCTTATATGCTGAGGCGCATATACTCAGGTTTCGAACAATCGTTTTGTGGTTGTGTTATTGTTTTATTTATAATTATCTCCATAAGTGCTGCTGCTATTTATTACTGATTTGCTAATTGCGTCAGAATAGCGACAAAAGTAATAATAATAATAATAATAATAAAAAACAGAAAGGAAAAAAAAGAAGGCAACAATGACAACGACAAGGGCATAATATTTAACAAAAATAAGGCATATTTTATCTTTATTTATTTTAATCAAGCAAGCAGAAAAAAATCTATTTTGCTCGCATTTGAAAAGTAGAGCGACATCGTCTAACTATCTAACAAATTATATGCAAACAGAACTTTTTTAAGTGTTTGCTATAAGTGAATGCCTTCAAAGAGAAAAAGTCTTATAACTGCCTTCCTTTACTTTACCCCACATACGCGCGCGCATACAAGTCGTTTATTTTCACTATCTTCTGTGCACATCTGTAATGTTTTTCACTTTATGACTTTTAATATATTTGTGACTGCCGTCATTATTGTTCTTGTTCTTGTTGTTGGTGTTGTTATTGTTGCATTGTTGTCGCGTTGTTTTCCCTGCTGTGTACACATATGTATATCTTGATTACAAATGTTTTTGCTTTTTTGTTGATGATTATATAAATTCATCAGAAAAAAAAAAACACAATATTATAAACTATCTACAGCCATTGCCGTTTGCCAGTAATTTGTTGTTATTGCGGTTTTTATCATTTTCTTAAATTTTCTTTTTTAAGCAAAGTAGCAAAAATATGTTTTATCTCTGCTTTTCATACATACATAGAATAATGCAAAACTCGCATTACTCGCTGAAATATTGTTTCAATTAAATTTTTTTTTTTTTTTTCGATTATCTTAAATGATTCATAGGGGTGCATATGAAGCATTCGGTTAAGGCGGTTATTAGTGAAGCTAAATTTTCAAACATTTTAGAAATCAAACGAATTCGCTTAATAGTTTTGTTTACTCCTCAAAAATGATTTTCATTCGAGAAAATTGTTCTATAAAATCCAAGACTCTGGAATTATTTGTATCTGTTTTTGCTCTACTAAAGTCCTACAAGGGTAGCATGTGTTTTGACCTTCGATTAGTATGTGTGTCATGAAATTAGTGAATAATGTGCAGTTAACTATGAAAACATAACGCTCTTTTCTTTCGAGGAAAAAGAAGTCTTACGTGGAGAAGTGCTCAAGAGTTTTGATTAAAAAGCGAGCAAGCACATTATAGTCAGGCAAAAACCGATCGAAAGGTATCTGCCCCCAATTCATGACAAAATACCAATTTCTTACTTTCTCTTCTTTTTTTTTCATATATTTTCGTGAAAACCAATTATACCGTGTTCTCATGTCAAGGCATACCTTTTATGTGGCGCTGCCTCGAACGTAAACCTTAAACCTGAAATTGAACAAAAATTGAATATTCTCGTCAAAGATTTCATTATTTGTTAAGGGTGTTTATCATAAACTGCTAAGTTACGCTTTCTTTGCCACTGAAAGGCCTGTTACTCACAGGAAGTGGTGGGGGGTGTTGTCCAAAAGAAATCAAGTATACTTGCTATAAAAAATTATTGTTATGGGCCACTTTTCATTATAAAATATAAAAACTTTAACCTTTTTGTTGTCTAAAGACATAGTTCTCGTAGGAACTGTTGTGCGATAGCTGCTTCAAAACCTTAAACCTTTCGATTCTAAGTTTTCCCAGCGACTTTTGTTTCCGAAATTTTGAAAATTCAATTTTTTTTGTCTCATAAGACTTTATGTGGACATCGTTCGCAAAAGTTGGCGGACAAACTACGTCAATCGGTGCTATATTGTATTAAATATGATCATAAATATAAGATGTTTCAGCAAAATGCTGCTGCGCGGCTAGCGGTGCCATCCTAATGAAAATAAGCATTGCCCATCTTCTCAGCATTAATTTCAAGCTAAAAAAAAATCGAACGGTAATGCACTTCAGTCATTTTAACGGCCGAAGCAAATTCTGCGATGCATTCACAAACACGCCTAGACTAGCCAGTAACTCAGAAACTTTACCAAATATTTTCCAAAGTCGTTTTAAAGTTGCATAGTAAAATTGTATTTGCTTGGACAATTGACACGCCCATATTTAATACATTAGTTTCCAATCTTTTGACATTTTCCCAATGGAGGGTATTAAACGTCCACTGATTTGTGGCCAAAGAGACAATTTACCCGTTTCGGGTCTTCCAAGCGTCTGAGGGACGAACCTAATGCACTGCAAATGGCTTTTACGGTCTAGTATGTGCGTTTGAGCACCTGATATTAACTAAAACTTGAAACGTTCAGATATTTTGGTGGATTAGCTTGTTGTCTCGTAACAAAACTTTTCGATATATGTTTTTTAAAGAACGCCCTCCCTCCTCCTACCACATAATACGTTTATATTGTTGCAATGCGTTATTGTTACGTTTTTGAAAAAGAAGGAATTTATGTAAGCATGTCTATCTATATATGTGTGTTTGTATGTACACAAATGAAGTGAATAAAAACGCCATAGTAGAAAACAGCGCATCATTAAATATCTTACATCGCTTCGCTTCACTGATTAATTCTGTCGAGCTCTTCAGCGATATGCTTCCAAACTCGCCAAAGACAGAGTATGTGTACTATGAATGAAATTAGGTTGTAATGAAACGATTTGACAAAATGACAAAAATATTTTCTAAAACTCATTATTATGGCAAATAAACCATCATAATGATAAGATTTTGCGGGACATTGATGGACGGATCATGACGTATATGTTAATGCAGTTATTCCTTTAAAGACTTTTCAAAATAAGGCGTTGTATGAGAAGTTCTCCAAAACGTGATCCGATCCGAACCATTTTCAATAGCCATCGTCTTGGGCCAATATAATTCACTGTACCAAATTTCATGAAAATTGCGAACTTAAGATTAAATGAAAGAAAACAGACGGAGGGACAATCAAGCTTAAATCGACGGAGGATCAATCGGCTTAACAACAAAGAGGGTAAATCTCAAGTCTTTCTGGGTGTAGCACACATTCGCACAAACTTAATATATGCCTTTGTACTACAAACGGTTCAGGATAAACACAAAAAGTTTATCGCACATGCCCTAACTGAAATTATGTTATCAATGATAAAAGGAGAAAACATTTGACTGGAACTTGTTAATATTGTTTTTCTGATAAATGTCTTACATGTAATGAATTTTTGCACTACGATGTGTTATATAATTCAATTAAATGTACTATGAATTTTTTAATAGCATATGATCGATAAGAGTGCAGAAGACTTCCTTTATTTTTTTAAGCGCTATTCTAATATTGTTATAAGCATGAAAAACGAGGAATTACGTCGTTATTTTTAGATTTTATTTATTTACATTTTTTTTGTTATTGAAGCTAGCCATGGGAAGCCTTGGGAAAAGATAAATGTATAAATATTTCCTATATTTTGAGTTATTTGAAAATTAATACTTAGTTATGTATTTTTGATTGAAATAAATAATTCTCGAATTGATAGATGAAAGGAATGACATGTGAATTGTAATATCCACTCTAGAGATTTAACAAAACCGACGTTCGGGAGTAATCTAATAACAATCCATCAAATTAAGTGCAAGATATTTTGTAAAAATAGAAAAAATGAATTAAGAAAAAAAGCGCTCCTGCCTTAGAAATTCAGAGGAAGTGTGATTATTGGTAGAGGTGCTAGAAATATCGTAAAAGTTTTTGCACACTTTTTTTTATATTACTTATCCTAACTGATTTCTTGCTTAAACATACTTTTCCCTTTCTCTCTCTCTCTCTCTCTCTCTCTCTCTCTCTCTCTCCTTCTTTCGTATAATTCATTCATTTGTTTTTCCTGAAAAATAATTTCTCATATATAAAATAAATATTTTTTATTTACTTGAAATTTTATTTTTTCTTTTTTTTTGTTTCTTTATCTTCTACCGGGAAACATAAAAATATGTTCTTGTATTTTACATACAAAAAAATGTACATTGCGCTGCCAATGAACAACGCACGGATTTTAATATTGATTTTTGGAATATTTTGCATTTTGCGTTCGTTTTTTTTGAAATTATAAAATAAAACAACAACAATAAAAAAATTTTATATAAAAAAATTTATATATGTATATATATATATATATATATATATATGCATTTTGCCATAAATGTTTGTATAAAAATGAATAAATATTAAAAACCTAACCGCACCATTCACATACTACAACCGCCTACTACTACCTACACACCAACAACAACAACCACATACTCACACGCGCTCTCCAATAAAACCGACATTCATTTTAATCTTAAAAAATAAAACTAACCAACACCAACAACCACTAAACAACGCTAAATAAAATACACACATGGTCAACAAAAAAAAACAAATAATAATAATGATATAAAGCGCGCAAAATACGAAAGCAGAGCGACAGTCTGCTGGGGTGTGCGGAGTGTAGTCCACTTAGAAAACATTCGAATCAGTCACACCGAGGCTAAGTATTTTAACTTTAACGTAAAGTGTAAAAGTGTAATAAATATGCCGCAACCGGTTGCGGGCGGCTATATATCGTTAGAAGGTAGTCGCCGTCCCAGTAATGGACAGGCTATCTATCAGTCAACCACTGAACCAACTGGTCCCACATCCATGTTGGAATCAATGAAACGTGTTTTAGGTCAAGTGGTAGGTTCCACAACCAACGCTGCCTCACACGATACCGATGATTTGCTCAATAATACCAATGGCCGTCAAGCCATAATAATCAGCTCGAGGTAAGATTAAACATTACAAACAAAACAAAAAGAAAACCATTCGCTTATGCTTTACTAAAAACTGAAAAACACCTCAACCAATACTAACCAGGGAAAGAATATTGTTAATAATCAAAAAAAAAAAAAAAAAAAAAAAAAAAAATACAATGCTAGCCGGGCATGTTACCCAAGCTAACAATGAGATAAACATGAAAAAAAAATAATATTTTTTCATACATACATACGCGCACCACTTATCATTCATCAGATTTCTGTGTACTTTTATAATTTTTTCCTTTTTTTTTAGTTTAAACCATTTACTTACTTTTAATTTTAATCTTAATTTTCTCTCTTTTCGTGCTTTGGCTCTTAATATTGTTTGCTTTCTTTTTATTGGCCTTTCGTTGTAATTTTTCTCTTCTATTGTGGGGAGTGAAATGTTTTTTATTTTTAGCTCAGATAATTGACAACTTGAAGATCTTCTCATTCCTTAGTTGGAGGTGTGTAGTCAACTTTTTAGCTTAAATGGCAAAGATTTTCATGGCATACTTTTGGAAAAAGATTTTTGGGGTGAAAGGAAACAGTAAGAAGGTTATGTTCCTCTCAAGGCCAATTCTAGACATTCAGGCAGCCACGTCTGCGATGTTTATTACTAATGAAAATTTCTTATTCCCTTGTCCAGTTCGATATATCTGGCTTGTAAAAAATAAAATGAAACTTTGCTATAACATAAATAAATATTTAGCCCGAAATTCATATTCTCAGATAATCTAGTAAAGCTTACGTTATTGTCACCATATATTAATGAACTTTAAGGTGAATGAATCTATTCGTTGTGTTCTCAATATTTTTAGATAAATTTCATATTTATTGAAAACGTACTAATAATAAGAGCAGTCAAGATCATTATTTTGGGGCTTTTTCCATTTATCGAGTAGCTTGCAAACACCCCCGCGGTAGAAAGTCCTTGCCTCCGAAGTGAAATAGTCATCAACCCATATTTGCATATGTATTAGCTAAATATGGTTGCATCGATCTGAAGTCGCGCTGTTTAGAAGTAGACCGCGCTGGCGAATAAGTGCGCAGCCGGAAAAAATTTCCTGGCCCATCCCACATCCATCTCTTTACATTTTGATATACACTGAACGGCAGCTTGTACAAAACTGAAACTAATACAAATGTCAAAGTCAAACAAATATATAGAAGGTATCCCCAAAATTTGCTCAAGATTTCAATTTGGATCATATTGACTTATGATATCAACTGCCACATGTAGTTCATTCCGTGAAACAGTTCATTTACTCAGTGGGAAATACCCTGCTGGTCTGCTCTCACGGTTCAGTGATCAGAGCTCCGACCAAAGGACCAACAAAGTCGAGGAGTCCATTTTGCCCTAACTGCTATTCAGCGAATAATCCTATCCTCTTTACATGGTGATTCAGTAAAATAAATAAAATTTAAAAAAATAACTCTGTTTTCTATTTAATTAAAATCTTGCGTATAGCTAGCGACATCCTGTATATACCTAAAATTTCGGGAAAATCGAGTGCAACAGGTCGATTTTATTATATTACAAATGTCAAGCTAGAGAATTTATTTGTGGACCTAATGAAAGGCAATCTGCAGAACCTTGAAAATTAACGAACGAACGAAGTTAACGTTTCTCACCAAGAGGCGCTGAGGAATAAAGTTAAAGATCTTATGCATGTTTGCAAAGAGCTTTTGCGAAAGCAGGAAAAGACTCTCGTCTTTAAAGCAGTGAAAGTTCATGTTACTGCACCTGCCTAATCGCTAAAGTTACATCTTTAGCCATCAACTATCGTTTGGCATTAACTCTTACTGTCTTCGTTCAATTAATCATATTGCTGTTTGCACGCATTTTCCGTGGGTGTCACATCACAGACGCTTCGCCAGTTGTTACTACGTCAAGAAAGCTAATGTCGCAACGCTCCCGTCAAACTATAAAGAGCAACTTTTATTTCTTTTTGGAAACTCGACTTTGTCGATTAATACACTCTTCTCTGTAAGGGACAAATTCATTTTAACGCTCCTCTAGGTTTTCCATATCCCTTTCTGAGGAACAACATGTCGTTATTCACAAAATAGGCCTCAGTTTCATTAATTTTGCTCTCTCTGCAGCTTGATTTTGATGTCTGGAAAAAGCCAGGACATAGGAGTGGAGAGCACGTTGGATAAAGGAAAGTAGTTCGAAGCGTAATTCGTTCAATTTTATTATAGTTTTCATCGGTTCGTGACACATGGCATTGCCGTAGTGAAAGATCACTTGTTTCCTTCTTGGTTGTTAAAGTCGATCTATACAAAAATGTTATTTGACATTCGCCACTGCCCCTTTTCCCGCCCGTTTTCAAGATAGTTGATGCGTGTTATGCGATATACATCTTATGTGTTCGATCGCTTTGAACGATTTTCACCGGCTTATTGCGCTTGAACAGCGCCAAACAGTGCTCTGAATCGTCTACGCTTTGCTGTTTTCGGCTCGGTTTGAATAAATGCCACAAGCATTTCGAATAGAGCTTTCTCATGGGCAAATTTGTCGATTTTGGACGACCATGATTAAATTAAGCATTAACAATAACCTGTAAACCAAGTGTAAGAATGTTGCGAAACCTCGATACATATCGTATACTGAAATCATATAGGCCACATATATCTCACAACCCGGGACTTATTGAGTGATGTATTAATTATACAAATATTTTAAATTGTGATTATTGAAAGATTACTTAGTTTCTTCATTCCTTACAGGAACTTTAATGTCGAAGTATCAGCCAATAAAATAAATTTCGCTTCTGATTTTCTAAGAAGCGTTCACAATCTTCTGTCGGAACACATGGCAGAGGCACGTTTCAATCGAACTTTTTAGTAGTTATTTATCGTTTTTATTTGGGTGAGCACAACGGTTTATTGCAGAGTGCACCGTAAGCGTACATATATATCATGTCACGTCCCTTCTACTTTACTCGACTTTTAAGCTTTGTTCGAGAGCTATCACTATGATTTGATGGATGGGTTATGCCATATGAATCTCTTCTCTCCCTTTCAAAACGTCGTAATTTTTATTCACGAAATGTCAGCGCATTGTTATGATGATATCATGTAAAGAATTAGAACAGAAAAAACGCGAAACCTGAAGTGACAACTCTTGCGATACCTCATAAGCGTTCAATACTTAATGTATGTACACATTTTGAGGAGGCATGATTTTGGGTTTTGTACCAAAAAAAAGAAAACAAGCAGTATGGCCGACGATGTGCGTTTACAGACAGATGTAGATTTGCTTAATGAATTTGACAGCTCCTCTTATTTGTAAGATTACAAAATTATCTTAAGTAATTTAATTCGTTTTTATTTACAAAGGTTTTCTATTTATTTAACTGTCATTTATTTATTCTCTTCAATGTAATAAAAAAGGAAATGTTATTTCTGTTTATTGCTTTTCTCTTAATTGCAGAAAAGCAATCAATAAATTATGGCAATAATAGCAATTTATTATATTACACCCACTTGTGTATACTACATAAACACATACGGTTCCACAATTTATACAATTATACCATATTTTTTGTATATATATATATATTTTGTCTTCTTTATGTATAACATATACGTTGCACCTTTACTTGTGTACGTAAAGCAGAAGGTGTCTGTTTAGAGTATGGAAGGGTCATTGAAAAGCTTTCACATGTAAATATATATTGAGTTGTTGTTGTTGCTTTTTTGTTGTTGTTGTTTTTGTTGGCATGTAATTGTTACCAATTACCTTGTTGTATGACACACTTTATATGCTTGGTTTGGCCTTTCATCAAGTGACATAATTTTCTGCTTCTACTACTTTTGATTTCTACTGGCAAAGGAAATAAAAAATAGTAAAAAACAACAAAAATTGAATAACGAAAAAACCACAAAGGAAAAATCAATACACTGTTCTTATGACATTTTTAGTTAACTACGTTGTTGCTCTTATAAGCCTCAGTTTTCTTTAGAGTGAAACAGTTTTTTTTTTTTCCTATTTCTTCTTTTGTTAGTTTTCTGGGACAAAGAATTGAATGTTCGAGTAAAATATAATACTTTGTTTACTTGAATTTTCTAAAGAGATCACGAGTGTTTATGTTCGTTTCTGAATTTTTTCTTTCTTTAATTTGCACTTAGAAGTGTTAAAAAAAGCTTTCTGTGCTAATTTGCGATTTACGTAAATTGCGATAAAAAAATAATAATAATAATTTTCGACGCTACGAACCCAATTGGCATATTATGTACGTGATAGCATGAGTCATAGCAAACACAACAAACAATCTCGTTTCTTCGTGATTGAAAGTGAGAGAGAGCAAAGTCTTATTGACATGATTACCGCCTTTCCCTACTTCTACTATCAAATTCGGGTCTGTAAACTGTTGGCGTTCACGTGCTTTGCCATGCCCATGTCCAACTTAAGGGAGCATCTTAATAAAAGCATAATTTTATCTCACGTCTCCGCTTGTTATTGTATCCGTCAGGAAAAAGGAAGTGTTAGGAACTTGAAATTTCTTCAACTTGATTACCAGACGTTTTACTCGTATAAGTTAATGATCCCCAGTTTGTGCTGACATTAACCGTGCTCATGACAGCCTAATGGCTGGTTTTGTTGAAAAGTCAATCCTCCGTTCAGGCGTTTCGACATAGTATTCAAGTAATGATCCTCATTGATTTGTGAACGATTTCCGTCGATTATAGCTTGTCGGATAAATTGCCTGCTTCTTGAAGGATGTCCATGTTTCTTATGATTTTAGGGCGGTCCAATAGATTCTAATAAATCCCAAACTGATAGTTTCTACATACAACGGATTTTATCTGATATTTTTACATCACTACGCTCCACACATAAAGCAACTGCTAGTGTGTTTAGTTCTCACCCGGCTTTATTGTTGTTCATTGATAAACTGAGAAGAAAAAAACGAAAAGAATCCCCTCAAACACCCCATGAATTCGACAGTTCTCTGATGGCAGTGTGATCGTATTGTACC